AAGTTAGATGCAAATGAATGTAAATGAATGATTGCACGAAATGAATGTAAATGATTTTCCATTACTGCTACCTCTCCTCTTATCATTCTCTGGACGAGCGGAAGATCCGCACAACAGCGAACAACCGAAAAGCGAAATACAGCTCTCAGCTCAGCCGAATCATCGCCCCGAATGATTCACTGAGAGCTGTTTAGAATGACAGCTCTCGGGTGCATCCTGCTCTCGGACCCGTCCAGCTCTTCAGCTCTTTTGTTCTCTCGATTCTTCATGATTCCGCTCTGCAGATGAAGCCGAATCGTACGGGTCGTCGGTTATTTGCTTTTGCGTGGATCTACACCCTTTGCCAGATAATAGTGAGTGCAATTCTGAAATAACATCAGCAATAAAATCTGTATGTAGACTCGATTGCACCGCATGAGATGTCAATTATATCATCACGTGTGATATAGGTCTAACTCTCTCGCATGAATTGTTTGCTCTTACTGATGATGTTGTTGGCATATTTTGTATTATACCTGCATTTTGGGTTAACCGGTGGTTGTTCACTTGCTGCGTTAAGTTGTAAGCTACGGGTTTAATGGTTTAGACTACTTTTACGATGTGTATGCAGTTTTAAAATTATATAGCTCCATTGGTTTAGGGTCACTAAAACCATTTATTTCATTTCCGATTTTTCATTTTGAATCTGTGTCAAAATTTCTATGATTTCAATGCTGAAGAGCTGTTCAAAAGAATCGGCTCTTAGAGAGTTGAACAGGTCAGATCCGCTCAGCCAGATGAGCTATTTTGCCAACCTCTAGTTTTAACATGTGAAATTCAGTATCACTTAAATTCTGTAAGTGTTGCTGAACGTTTGATATGATTAGACATAGAATTGAAAACATTTATTCCTGTAAAATACAATGAAGCACAAGTCAAAAAAATGTAATGTTCTTATTTCGTCCGCAGTTCTAGTATTATATCCATGAAAATCACTTCCTCTTTCAATTTGATCACACAGGTATCGAGGCAGGAAATCGTTAACTATTTTAAAAACGAACACCATAGACAAATATGCTATTCTTTGCTTCACCGACAACCATTGTAAAGCATCCGGCATCAAAGTCGAAGGAAGTGAATCTATTGTATCGCAAAATCAAACGCATTGTTTATTCTGCAAGCGCTGAAATCTCGATATTTGTGTTGCATTGTTTCGTTGGTGTTTCGGTGGCCAAAAACAAAATGAAAGAGTAAAATTTCAGATGAGGAAAGATGATTGATTTGTATTATACTAGCAATAGTTAAATCGTTTGTCAATCGACAAAGAATTACATACTTGCTGGCAATTTTCTCGATGACATTATAAATGTGAGAGTTGAACTTAAGTACGTCATCAATAATCACGCCAAGATATTTAATCAATCGAACGCGATCAATAACCTCACCATCAATTACAACAGAGACGACATCATTTACTAGATTCCGCGGAATCACTATAAATTTAGTTTTACTTGTATTCAATTTCAATCGCATAAACTTCAGTCATCTACTTAGAGAACGAAAATCTTCATTCAAGTGACAACGGTAACTTCTAAATCCTTAGCTGCAATACATAACAGTATCATCTGTAAAAAGATTATTGCCGCAAACTCGTAAAACACGTCACCAGACATTAACATACATAATCAATAAAAGGGGCCCTAATACACTTCCCTGGGGCACTGCGGGACTAGAAATATAATCATAACAAACAGTCCGTTGAGTTCTATCAGATAAATAGTTTTCAAACCATTTATATGCAGTACTGGTAATTACAAACGCTTGATGGTGCTTAACAATAAGGGCCTAGAAATTGTATCAAAAGTGCGTTTCAGATCCATAAAAAACAGCAACAGTCGTTTCTTTACGCTCGAAGTTGTCTTTCCACTTTGCTAAAATCAAATTCAACGTGGTTTCAAAAGAATTACCTTCCCGATATCCTGATTGTTCTGGTATCAACAAAGAGTTGCTATTCAAATACTTCTTTAACAACAAGTTCTAACATTTTCTCTAATGTGTACAACATGTTGATGGGACGAAAACAGGCGATCGAAATTCTCGCTCAGCTGCATCACTAAAGCTGCTTTTCGCAGAGCTGAGAATAGTTTCCTCTCTCATTCTTCAACGATTATTCATTTTCCTCTCCCATTCAAACCAAGAAAATATCGCTCTCTCAAATTCAGTGAGAACACTTTTTCATCTCTTATTGGGCACCCGACAATATTCGAAAGTGCGTGTTGCTGGAGTCCGAGCAGAAGTGCAGCATTTGAGCGTTTGAGCCCAATGTAATGTAAACAGATGAGTCGATATGAATTTGTCGGCTCTTTTGTTCGCCTGGTGTAAATGTATGACGGAGTTTAATCATAGAGGTAACTCTAAGACTAGAAGGTTCCGAAGAAACGTACTCAAATTTTTGGCTCAGCTCTTTTACTATCTTCGGTCCCAAGCAAATCGATGTACCCCTCGAAACATAGGAAAATCCACGAACCCCTCATTTTATCTGTCAAACTTTCATAGCAAATCAAAACAAACATTGTGTAGTACTAGAATTTCGACTAGAATGGGGTACGTTAATCGATTTGCTTGGGACCAATAGGCTAGTCAAGTAGTGAGCCAATTTAAAATCGTTAGTTTCGTATTGATTGTTGGTTTAACGTCACACTCCGTCAACCATTTAAACAACGGGAGAACATTGATAGCAAAACACATAGTCCATTTTACGAAATAACAGAAGCCAGTTTGCCTGATAGAATTTGATATTAATGTTGCTTCTCCTCTCAAAGTTTATTCATAAATTCAGGCATAACATTTGATAACGGCACAAAAGCATTTGTAAACAAACTTTCTAAGGCCCTTTACACGCGAACCAAAGTACGCCCACGCAAACCAATACCACTTTCGGAAAGGTGATAGTTGCCCCTATCCGATGATGTTGTTGGTTTGCGTGGGCGTACTTTGGTTCGCGTGTAAAGGGCCTTAGAAAGTTTGTTTACAAATGCTTTTATGCCGTTATCAAATGTTATGCCTGAATTGAAAACTCAGCTGATCAGAAACTTCTCATAAAATGCTATGTTGATTTGAGCCAACTAAGGACCAAAACAAGAGAAAAAGAAGAAGTCACTGTTTTCTTTCTTAAGCAATATTTCTAGCGAAGTATTCCACAAATGGTTTGGATGATACTCGGAACACATGTATATGTATATGTGGCATCTCTGAGTACTAGTTGTCTTTCTCATACCGCCGTGAATCACGTACGACACAAGCTTGCTTTTGTCTAAAGACAGCTTAAAATCGCGTTCTCGGCAAGGGTGAAAAATTATAATCACTGAAATTTTCATGGCTACTTATCTCGAGAGAATTACTTTGCTTGAACAAAGTTCTCTCTTTATTTTAACTTTTCATTCTCTGTACCGGTGAAAAGTGCCGTTTCTCTTATCACATCAGTGATAATTTCGATCTCTGGACGAAACTCTTCGGCTTTAATCGTTCCAGCAACTTTTTGAATATGAACCACTAATAATTTGTTCCAAATTTGTGAAACCTGCTCATTCTGAAATGATTCATTAATAAGGTCCAGCAAGGTGTGAGTAGCTCTAGCATTAACATTATCTACTCCAGCCGATTTTCCTGATGAAAAGCAAATAAATCTAAGTTCATCTAATATTCTTTAACTGAAACATTTTTCAGTTACCGGACTTTCAGCTAAAAGACGTTTCAGTTAAACGTATTTCAGTTAGCGTACGTCTAGTGTACTACATTGACTCTTTGAAGTTTATATGGGAATAACTATAGAAGTTAAAACCAATAATTTGAACCACCCTAACATGCATGCGAAGCCGATGCATTCGTCAATGAATGCATTGCGAGCAATGCACCGCATAGAACGGATTCGTGAGCTTGTACCACCAGTATCTATGGTGTACGTTAGTAGCTCGTAATAGAAAAATTACACTTGTTAGTACACCCCCCTCCCATCACTGCTACTTGTCGTCAGGGACGACTATTTTTAGCTCATTTCCGACGAGTTTCTCCAAATGGACGAAATTGCCAATGTCACGAAACGTAGGACACGGGATTTATTAATATTAAACTGCGTACTACAGGACAGTCGCTGGCCCAATCAATGGCACTGTTTGTCCGGAAAATTATTTGTTTACCCAACGTCGACGATAGTGTAACTGAATAGCCACTTCAAATTGCACAGTTGTAGCTATCAAGTTATCCACAACATTTTTTGCATCATCAATTCGTCGCAGAATTCCCGGTATTCTGCTGCGCTCCCACACTTATCATCATCTTGGTTGGCTTGCTCGAGTGGTTCACCGGACGAGAAACACAATATTTACACGGCGGCGTGTGAACGGCTTGCGAGCGCGGTCTGGCCGTTTGCTAATTACCGTGATCGCATCGCGCAGTATTCACGTGTGCACTATAGGACAATAAGCGACATACCAACACGTGATTGGTTCGTGGCAGAGCAGGCTTGATTTGCGCTTTCTACCTACACTGCCTATAACCGCATATCAGTCCCATATGGATTTTCGTCAATTTTGAGATAACAACGCTATCCACTATCAATTGGCATCTACTTTCATATTATGTGATAAAACTATGGACTTAGATCATGAAAAATATGAAAACAACATCAAGTCAGTTTGTCCCATCAAGCAAAGTAATCGCATATCAGTCCCATCCTGAAATTCAATCGTCCATAGTTCAAGTTAAAGTTCTGCTTTTCGAATTGCCATATTTTTCGTTGATATAACAGAACATGCAAGTTTCATTGTGACAGATTTTAACTTGAAAAAAATATCAATAAATTTACTATGATTTTTCAAATATTTACATGAGAATTGCACTTCGTAACTTCGACTGCCATTTTCTCAATGCCTACTTTTTCCATATGGGACTGATATGCGATTATAGGCAGTACATGTGTTAGACTATCGATTTTTTGTAAACCAATCATCTTTTCGTTTCAGACCTTCCCATCTGGAACTACGATGGAAGCTCGTGCTACCAGGCCGAGGGACACAACTCGGATGTCTACCTGCATCCGGTAGCGATCTTCAAGGACCCATTCCGACGAGATAACAACATCTTGGTCATGTGCGAAACCTACCGGTTCGATGGGACGCTAACCGAGTCGAACAAACGCCGTACGTGTCGTGAAGTCTGCGACCAAGTGACCGACGAAAAACCCTGGTTCGGAATCGAACAGGAGTACACACTGCTGGACATCGACGGGCGGCCCCTGGGATGGCCGAAGAATGGCTTCCCGGGACCACAAGGACCGTACTACTGTGGAGTAGGCGCAAACAAGGTGTACGCTCGGGACATCGTCGATGCCCACTACCGGGCGTGTCTGTATGCCGGTATCAAGATTTGCGGTACCAACGCCGAGGTCATGCCGGCCCAATGGGAATATCAAGTGGGACCATGCGAGGGCATCTCGATTGGTGATGAACTGTGGGTGTCACGCTTCCTGCTGCACCGGATCGCCGAGGAGTTTGGCGTAAGTTCCCAAATTTGCTCGTCTTCGCAATTATTTTGCTTAACAACATTACAACCGTAGATTGTCGCCACTCTGGATCCGAAACCGATGGAAGGTGATTGGAACGGTGCCGGTGCGCATACCAACGTGTCAACCAAGGCCATGCGTGAGGAAGGTGGAATAGTCGAAATCGAAAGCGCCATTGCTAAGCTGTCCAAATGCCACGAGCGCCATATCCGGGCTTACGACCCACGCGAGGGCAAAGATAACGAACGTCGCCTGACAGGCAGGCACGAAACCAGCTCGATCCACGACTTCAAAGCCGGTACGTTGCAATTTGACGATTATATTCTAGAATTAAATTTTAACAATCTTTCATTTTTCAACTTCACCAGGAGTGGCTAACCGTGGAGCTTCGATTCGTATCCCGCGTGGGGTCGCCGACGAAGGCAAGGGCTATTTCGAAGACCGACGGCCAAGCTCCAACTGTGATCCGTACAGCGTTGTGGAAGCCATTCTCAGAACAATTTGCCTGGACGAATAATGGAATTGTTTCATCGTTAAAGTTCATATTTATTCATAAATCTAACACACAAAGAGCAACAAACACAAGAAGAAAAAAAGATAAAACGGTGCATTCAATTGTAACTAACTTCAAAGTTTATTTTTCTGTTTTAACATATGATTTTTGTTCTTTTACATTATGAGAATAGATGAAGAGATATATTATATTAATATTCCACATCATAGACACACATCAATCGATATTAGCCGGGCAAAAGAGCCTTCTGTGCAACGTAGAATCTATCGTCTACTGCTACAGTGTTGTACTGTTTTACTGTTGTAATAAACGTATGAAAAATAATAAGACCAACGCAATTAAAACCAATTAGAAAAAGAAGAGAAAACCAAAACAAACCACAAACTATAAATGACGTAGGCACAAGCTGTGACATAAAAATAACCTACAATCATCGTTAAATCAAAACTGCAGTACTGGTTATAAGCGAATGAGCTAATGAGTAATGCTATTTCAATACCTGACCTAGCAAGAGAAAAAAAAACAAAAACAATCAACGGTCATCAGGGAGTGTTTTGCAATTTTACGTCGCAGACGTGCTATTTTGTTGTCTGTAAACAAATTCGACGAATTGAGGATGAGATCGAATCGTTATCTCGATACCATATTGCCTCCACCTCCAATTCAAGTTCAAGAGTCCCGTGCAAAGCACACGTTTTCGAATATCATTATTGTTGCAGTTGAGTTTTGGAACTTCTCAGCAAAATTGCATTGTTCGGAAAATAATTAAAGGGTGTCCACGATGAAATTGCCACACACAAAATTGATTCGCAAAATTCGAGTTTTCATTCGATTGCCATCAAATTTTCAGGGATTGAGAAATAACTATTAAACTTCATTTTACCATTTTACTCGTATTTTATTTACAGTCCATACGCAAATGCCCGCACCTTGGCCTTAACCCCGGCCATAAGATTCTGCACAACCTGTGAATCAACAGTTTTTTGCATGTAAACCCATACTTTCTTCAGTTCCTCGACTGTCTTCACTACCTTAGGTCGTTTAAGAAGGTGCTGCTTCATAATCGCCCAGTACTTCTCGATGGGGCGGAGCTCCGGAGTGTTGGGAGGGTTGAACATTTTCGGCACGAAATTGACCTTATTGTCCGCATACCACTTCAGCACGTCCTTGGAGTAGTGGCATGAGGCCAAATCCGGCCAGAAGATTGTTGGGACGTTGTGGGCCTTCAGGAGAGGAAGCAGCCGCTTCTGGAGGCACTCTTTTATGTACACCTGTCCGTTCATCGTGTCCTGGGTCACGAAAGGTGCACTCCACTTCCCGCACGTGCAGATGGCTTGCCAAACTAGGAATTTCTTCGCAAATTTGGACATCTTCTGAGTGCGGACATGCTCCGGAACGCTGAACTTATCCTTGGCCGTGAAAAACAGGTTGCCGGGGATCTGTTTGAAGTCGGCCTTCACATATGTTTCGTCGTCCATGATGCAGCATTCAACTTTCGTCAGCATGTTGAGGTACAACTTCCTGGCACGGGTTTTGGCGGACTTGTTCTGCTTCTCGTCGCGATTAGGGGCCTTTTGTACCTTGAACGTTCGAAGCCCAGCCTTAGTTTTGGCCTTCTGGACAAAACTTCGGCTTAGGTGCAGCTTCTTAGCCACCTCCCTAACGGAGGCGTTCGGATTTCGGTTGAAGGCCCCAACTACGCGGTTGTGATTTTTGGTGTTGTAGGGAATACTTTTTCCTTCACTTCTGGGCTTCCGATCGGTGGTCAACCGTTCCTCGAACCGCTTAATCAATCGCGACACCGTGGAATTCACGATTCCCAACGTTTTAGCGATGCAACGATGCGAGAGATCCTTGTTCTCGTGATGAATGCGCAAGATTTTATCACGCACGAGCTGTTCTTTCGACTCCATTTCCGCGAGTTTTGATCACAGGACTTTAAAACTTGCAGGATGTAAATAATGCACTATGAACTAAATCCACCCAAATTTTCATTAAATTCTACCCAACGGTTAAAAAGTTAGAGCAATTTCATAGTTTGGCAATTTCATCGTGGACACCCTTTATCAAATTTCATTCATTGAGTCCTTCTGAGAGAATAAACTCATCTGTGAATCTGCAAACAAATATCAGTCACAATGCCAACATATTATTCCAGATTATCATTATTATTTCTCAATTTAATTTAGTTTTAGTTTTCAAATTAGCAAATCCATAATAGGTTAGTAGTTATTGGCATAGAGATTTGAAATTTCCTTACAATCAAAGGCTGAATAAAAGTTAATTGGTATGCCCCTCGTGCGCCGCTGGCACGCCTCTAGTGTTTATAATCGAAAATCGTTAATAGTGGTTTGTTTACACTTCTATAGAGAACATCTGGTGCAAGTTTGATCGAAGTAGTCGATCGCGTTCAGAAATAATGTCAAATAGAACTCGAAAGAAGAAAAAAAAATTGTGCACAAACCTGGAAAATCCGGAGTGGTCCGGTTCAAAGCTGGCTAAAGTGCTGAAGATGCCGAAAACAACAGTTTGTCGAGTGATCAAAACCTACAAGGAAACCCTGAGTGTGGAAAGGAATCAGCGGACCTACGAGAAAACTGGAATTCAGGGATCGTCAGCTGCGCAGCAAGGTGTTGAGGTGCGTTAAAGCCAACCCCGGTCTTTCGATCCAGAGAATGGTGCCAGAGAAGGATACAAGTCGTACGAAGCCAGTAAACATCCGAACCGGCACATGAAGCAGAATTCCGTGGCCAAAAAGCGTGCAAGACTCTTGTACGACCGTGTTTTGATGAAACACAAGGGCTACAGGGATCGATGACGAAACATACGTCAAGCTCGATTTTAAGCAGCTTCCCGGTCAAAAGTTTTACGTCGCGACTGGACATGGGGATGTGCCGGGAAGATTCAAGTTCGTGTTTGCCGACAAGTTCGCGAAGCAAGCCATGATTTGGCAAGCGATTTGCAGTTGTGGTCTGAAAACGGAACCATTCGTCACATCCTCCGACGATGACATCCCAAGTTTACATCGAATAAGGCCGTTCGCAATGCTGAGTTTCAAAATTGTTTTAAACGACTTGACAATTCTATAATTTGAAACTGTCAAAAATAAAACTGCAACACGATCAGCGCAACGCACAGTTCTAAAAGATGTTTGTAATCACCAAGTTCCATAAAATTTACTGTTCTCTATGAAGTTCATAGAGTTTTTTTGTGAAGCTCTTCGAAACATCTTTAAATACATACAGAAATTTGAAACAGAGTTCCATTCGTGTTTCAAACTCGCTCAGAAATAAAACAGAATAGTCGAGCAGTTGCAAATCTGGTGCAAAATAGTGCTCGAATAATGAAACTGCAACTCAGCATTGCGAGAGGTGCGTTTCTGTTCTAGTTTCAAATTGAAACAGTCCTTATAAAATACAACAGCATTGCGAACGGCCTAATGCATGAAAAAGCGCGTATTGCAAGGGGTAGGTATTCAACTCTGCACACCTTAATCCGTTCCGATTGAGCTGTGCTGAAAGCTGTGCCAAGCGCTATGCCGAACGTGGTTTCAATCAAAGTGTGCCTATCAATATCTCAATATTCCATGAGTTTGGCAACCCCGAGAGTTATGACTTTTTTTTATTGTGTGTAAATTCTCAATTTGTAAGATGGATCAAGGCAAGCATTCAGCTTCCCTTCCTTCTCATTGGTGCGTTTGCGGATCGGGAGGTGGAAGAGGAAGTGGAAGCCATCAAACCTGTACGGTGTTCAACCCGTCCACCAGATTCCGACTCGATGTCCCTGCTGCTGATTCCTTGCAGATGTACAGAAACAAAGGCGTAACTCGATCGATGATGGATGAAATTGCCACCTGCTCCCTGTCAAATTATTCCCGACTAAAATAACTAAGAATTCCAGCCTTGGAGCAACATCCTCGGGCCAGTTTTTAATAAAGCCTCAAATCAAATTTTCAGTAATGAGCAAGGCCTTACAGTTGACCGATCGGTAGACCACCCATCGTTATGGGAACCCTTGATACGAGCAAGTTCTACAGAAGGATGATGACAGAGATGCATCAGCAAAATTACCGGAGCTGGTGAACGGGATATGCTTGATGTCGGCCCCGTGGAATAGAATGTAATTGCATTTTTAACTGCAATGATCCCTTCCTATAAATCCTATACTATTGCATTAAGGCAATCATACTCCGATCCAGGTCTGATGGAATATGTGAGGTTAATACCTATTGACTTCCCCCAGCAGTACTGGGTCCTGTGGATATCCCATCGCAGCCAATATCAACTGAGACCAATGACTGCGAACGTGTATAAACTGACGTTCATTGCCTCCAGGTTTGTTTTTGATTTTCCAACTAGTTTGTACCATATGTAGCTTTTGACCAACCATCGGTCGCTGGAGGTAACCGGTTTCAGCCGTCTTGACTGCCGTATCGACAAGATCCTCTCAACCGGCCATGGTGTGGATGAACTGATTGAAGTCAATCCCGAATAGAAGCTGTTCTGGATGAAATCACGAGCCAATGGGATTTTTGCTGTGAATCGGATGAGACGGACTGAGTTTTGCTAGTTTCACGGTTCAGAGAATACTTACAGATTTTTTCGGATCGATCCTCGAAACCGGTTTGTCGTTCTTAAATTCTTGATTCAATCGTTGTTTTCCTAGTTTTATATATGACAGTGATGTAATATAAAATTATATCGTTTGTGTGCTACTAATCAAAGTGTGCCCTATCGTGCCGAACAGTGTGCCGTGCTGTGTTTTGGCACAGTGTGCAGAGTTGATTACCCCTTGGTGTATAGCCGTTCATCCGCAAGCATAGGGGCAAAGTCATCTTTTGGCCCGATTTGGCCAGCTGCCACTACTCCAAGGTGGTTCTGGAGTGGTATGCTGCCAACAAGATCGATTTGTCCCCAAGCTATTTTTTTTTCCTTTATTTGAGAGATTTTTAGCCATAGGCTAGGTTCATCTCTTCACCCCAAGCTAATGAATCCTAAGAATTGCCGGGAATTTTGACCAATCGTAAAATGCTGGGCAATTTCAAAGCAGCGACTTCGACAAAACGGCGGGGCAGTCAAGGACATTCGGCAAATGTGGGCAAAATGGAAGAAATGCGCTGATTCCGTGTCTGTTTCCACTGTGCGGGCGCTGATGGGCTCCATCACGAGGAAGGTTTGAGATTTCGTTCGAACTGGAGAAATATAACCATCTAATGCTGTAGCTCTGAAGTTTTAATGAAAATACTGTGAAGCAACCATTAATGGACTTTTTAAACTTACTGAATCACGAATTACAGGTCTTTTTGTGCGTTCCAATTTACT